CATAAATTAGACAAACTAAAACTGTTTGACATGAAATTTTTCTCGGTGATAGAAGCAGCATTGAGCTATTGAATAAGAGGTCTAACGTCATAAGCTTTGTTTTCTATGTTGAGATATTCTTGTCTGAAGAAAAAATCTACGTTGAACTTCTAGCTCCTCTGTATGTCCTGATTAGTTCTTGCGATCAGAGTTCAACATGCTCTATGTATGGTCAAGTTATGAAACTAAAGAATTCAAATATTGGTACTTTTTATCCGGTAATGGAGCCTATTGCAACTACTAGTTTTAAAATTGATTTTAAAAATATATGCTGTTCAGTAAAAACTCATTTTCCTGTTAAATGGAACTTAAGAGAAGAAAAATTTTTTAATATAACTACTTTTAGTGTGTAAATAACTTTTAAAAACTCATCTATTCATTTCATTTCAAATAATTCATAAATTTTCACAAAAAACAACAATTATTTATTATAAATTCAAAAACAATCTATTGATCTTCATAAACAATATATTTTATCGTTTTATAAATTTATATTAAAAAAACAACCGTATAAATATATAAATTTAATGAACAAGAAAAATCACGAATAACATCAATCGTAAGTTGATTAATTCTTCTTTTTTTTAGCAATCAATAGATATTCATAAACATAATTTCCTTTTTTACAATCGAACAAAAGACATACTCTACTCTAGTACATGTGGAATGAATATGAATATTTTTAAGATAAAAAAGAAAAAGATATTTTTTCTTCTTCATAGGAATGTAAGTTGGCAATTTTTAATGATAAAAATTGGTTATAAATAGTAAAAACAAAAAGTCAGTTTGATATTTATCAACATCATTAACTTAAATTACATGTTTTTCTATTGAATAAATTTTAAGTTATAAAATACTTTTTTTTTTGTTTTCTTGCGTTAGACTTTTGTCACGTCTCGACTCTCATGAGATCGGAGCAAAGAGACGTGGATGGTCTCTAAACGACAAAATGATGATTTTTCTTTCTTTCTTTTTTTTTTGTTTGTTTTATTTGTTTTTTTTTTTGTTGCTGAAATCTTTCGAAATTCCCATTAGGAATGTCATTGAATGAAATATTAATTATCAAAACAAAAATCCATAGAATTTTCTAGTCTTTTTTGTGTCTAGGTAAAATAATTTTGACTAGAAATAATTCGAATACTTTCGCATAAAAAATACATCGAATAATAAATTAAACATTAAATATACGTGTATATATATGAATAAAAAGAGGCGTAAAAAAAACGAGTAATTATCAATAAATCTATAAATGGAAAAAAATAGTATGTCGTACTCTGCTTTCGATTATAAAAATGAGTTGTCTGGGAAACATTTAATGATCAAGATGAATGTCGTGATGTGTATGTCTTTTATTTAATAGTTTCTAAGTTGATCGGAAGCTATATATAGATGTACTTGATGATTTTTCATTATTTCTAAAAGTCATTATATCAATATTGAACTTTTTTTTTTTTTTTGTTTTTAAGAAATAATTTTATTATGTGTATGTCTATGTAAAAAGTTTGTTTTCCTTCTTTTTTAATGTATGCAGAATTTTTTTTTCGTTTTCTACATGAAACATACGATGCCGACGATACATGAATAAGACGAACATTTTTAAGAAGAAAATGAACAAACAGCTAATGAGAAAAACTGATTACAACCAACACACACACACACACACACACACAGAGAAAGAGAAAAAAAGTTGACATTGACAAACGAATAAAAATATAAAGAAAAAAAAAAGAGTATAAGTTGATAGTGATGTTAAGAGAGAAAGAAAGAAAGAAAAAAAAAGTTTTTTTTATAAAGGTTTTTGTCAATTTGGCATGATGACCGGTTGTGTGTATGTGTGTTGTACACAGACAAAAAAAAAAGAACAGAACAGAAAACAATTACTGATGTTCTTCAACTGGATTGGGATCATCTGGATCGGGTGCGTCACTTGTCCATAACTAAACAAAATCAAATTTTTCATCTAACAAAAAAAAACCTAAATATTTCTTACCGTAAGATTATCCCGGAGTAATTGCATGATAAGTGTACTATCTATAAAATAAATAAATAAATAAATAATAATCTTTTTTATCATTATGATTCATTTATATGACTAACCCTTGTATGAATCTTCATTAAGTGTATCAAGTTCGGCAATAGCATCATCAAAAGCCTGTTTAGCCAAATGACAAGCACGATCAGGTGCGTTGAGAATTTCATAATAAAATACGGAAAAGTTCAATGCAAGGCCAAGACGAATTGGATGTGTTGGTTGCATTTGACCTTTAGCAATATCAAATGCATCATTATATGCACGTTGGGATTCATCAATAACTTCTGTTAAAAAGAACAAAAAAAATTATTCTTCGTTTTCTTTTTTTGTTTTAAATATTTTATTTTTAAACATACTTTGACGTTCTTCGCCTGTTGCAACTTCAGCTAAATATCGATAATAATCACCTTTCATTTTTAAATAAAATACTTTTGATTCAGCCGTTGTTGCTTTTGGTATAAGATATTTATCAAGTAAAGACTAAAACATATCAAATAAATAAATAAATAAATAAATAAATAATTTTTTTTTCTTATTTACTAAAACTTCTTGACAAATATCTTTTAATTCCTTTTCAATTTTTTCACGATAATCTTTCGACATTTGTTGTTTTCGTTCTGAACCTTCAGTTTTTTGTTCAATACTTGAAATAACACGCCATGATGAACGACGTGCACCAACAACATTTTTATATGCAACCGAAAGTAAATTACGTTCTTCATTTGTTAATTCATTATTTGATTCAGTAACCTTCTTCATAGCATTAGCCATATCGTCATAACTAAATTCATTATATTTTTAATTAATATTAAAAAAAAAAACATATTCAAATAAATAAATAATATAATATAATCATACCGTTCGGCTTGTTCAGCTAATTTAGCACGTTGTACTTCTTCGTCCTTGTTTGACATGATTGTTGATTGTTTGATTTAATAAGAAATAAAAATTTTACTAGTGAACAGAGACAAATAGATCTGTAAAATAGGACAACTGAAAATATGTCAGTTATATATATATATATATATATACGAAAATTTTGTCAGATGAGAAATGGAGAGAGAGAGAGAGAAAGAGCGGAAAAAAAATACATTGTACAATTGAGAAAGTTCGATACTTGCCCGTTCTCAGAATGCATCAGGAAGAGAAGGCGTAGGCATAGGGCAAGGATGCGTGTATGTGAGCAAAAGATAGACTAAAAGTATTTATTTGCGTCTCTTTCTCTCTCTCTCTCTCTCGTGCTCGGACGCTTATATCGGCCGTAATAGCAAGCAAGTAGCGCTAGGCATAGAGAGGATAGGATGCTTATATCGATTAGTCACTCAAACGAACAGAACGAGCATCGGACGGCGAACAATTTATGTTATACAACGCAGCGTCATTGCTTAGCAACTAACTAAGACAGAAAAAAACAAAATTTAATAATAGATGTCACTATTTTTATCAATATATAAGATAGTTCATTATTGAACGTATGTAACTTTTCAATCATGATCGATTACAACCGGATATAAATACTTAACTTTGAAGAAGCTCTTTCATTGAAAACTGCAAAGAAAAAAGAAAAAAGAATATCAATAATTTGATCAATTGAAGAAAGAAAAGAAAAAGGAACGTTCAATTAAACTTTGTTTGATATTATTATACATTTATTGATGATCAATTATTATTCATATAACTTTCTATCTATATTTAGTTAATATTTGTAGTTATGCTTTAATTAATATATGAATAAATTCTTAATCATACGATGATTCATAAAATATAAAATTATTTTCTTCATTAAAAAATAATCATGCTTTTCAATTGTTTTTCATGCATAAACAATCTATCTTTTTGCTTTATTAGTATTCTTAATCGAAGTATATTAAAATTTTCTATTTTTCGTTTTTGAATTAGTTCGATTTAATAAAACAAAACAAAAAATATATTTTTATAATATGAACTAGATAAATAAACAAAATAAATAATTAATAATAGTTATCGATAAGTCAATGATTAATTGTATCCATCAGATTTAGAATTTTCTTTCGTTATTTGCAATTCATTTATAATCTCGAGTTTCAATTCTTTTGATCAAATAATACTGAAAGGTTAGATATGAATAGGCTTGATCTATTACATACAAAAAAACAAAATGTCTTATACATATTTGAAATGATTATGCATGATTTTCTATTTATATCCTTAGTTACAGATCTACAAAGAAAGGAAATGAAATTTGATGGTATAGGATTATTTCAAAATAATAAGAAAAAATTTCTGTTGTCACTCTTAATTAAATATATTCTATGAACATGTTAGGTTGATTTCATGAATAAATAATAATGACATACTATTTGTTTATAGTTTTTATGATCGTATATCTAGGAAATTATTTATAGAACATGACGTGTGTTTTATGACTAGTGTATTCATGTAATCTAGAGTTAACGTGTCAAAAAAAAAAAACAATAGATTAACAAAATAATCTAGATTACAAAGAAAAATGAAGAGATTATTGTGTACAACATATCATCTTGTTTATTAAAATCGATATTATAATATGTTACATTTTCTGTATTATTATTTTGAAAAAAGATTTTTTCTAACATTTTTTTTTTGTTTTCTATGTAATTTTATTTTTCAAATAATGAAACATTAACAACCCATAAACATCTATAGACAGTTGAAAACTGTTAGGTTGTCTTTTGTTTTTTTTAGAGAGAGAAAAACGAGGAAAAGAAAAAACAAAAACATGTTTTAGTAGCGGAAGTTTGAAAGAAAAAACTATAACAGTTAGGCAAACAAAAAAAAAAACACAACCTTATGAACTGTTAATAAGTTTCGATAAATATGAAGCTTTTTTTTTTCTTTCAACTCATGCAGAGAAAAAAAAAACAAACTATATAAAGTCATTGTTGTAGGAGAAAAAAATATGTATCACAGATTAATTCGATGATATTGAATCATTTATTTCATCTTTTATTGTTGTATTTGTTGTTGATGGATCATTTTCACCAAAATCAATTGTTTGATTATTTGTTATTGATAATAATGAACTATTTTCAGTTACATTTGTTATATCGTTCGATTGATTATTATTATTATTATTTTCTATTTGTGATATTTTTTGTTCATCAATATTATTAATTGAATCGGTTGAATTTGATAATATTATTTCATTGTTTTCATTAGTATCTGACTCTTCCTAAACAAAAAGAAAAAATCAAACAAATATTGAGAACTATTATTTTCAATAAAGAATAGAAAATAATAACAGCACTTAGAAACGATTAGCCTGAACAAAACAAAACAAAAACAAAAACTTGCGTGTATATTACAATAAGAAACACTTATCCATAATTAAAATGAAACAAAAAAAAAAAGACTTCTTTGATCACAATTGTTTTGAGCTTCAATTAAAATCCATTGGATGTAAAATTTTCAAGCTGAGAGTGTGATACTTTCAATGAAATTTTTTACATCGGATAGTCACCCTGAAGGATGCGAGATACTTTTCGGTATTTTTTTCTATTTGGTAACTTGCATATTTTACACATTTCTCATGAGAGCAGGGCTCCAAGTGTGGCGCACAGATGTTTCGCCCACAAGTAGATCTCAGTGAGACTAGAAGAATTCATCTTCATATGCTGTCTTTCTCGAATGACAACTGTTTTTCTGCTTCAGGCAAGATATATATATGGTGAAATCCATTCATTCCTAATGATCATAGCATCTATTTCTGGGCAAAAATTTCATAAATGGATTTTGTCTTGTCTAAGGCAGAAAAACAGTTGTAACTCGAGAAGGAAAGCGTATGAAAATGAATCTTTGTAGTCTCACTGAGAACTACTTGTGGACAAAATATCGACGTGTCACACTTGAAAGCCTGGACTCAATAGAATCCGAAGCCAACATGACGAGCTCTAGTGTCTACCCGTCAAAAGCTGATATCGCATAAGACTTAAAATTTTCAGAATATATTGAGACTATCGTGGGAAGATCATGATAAAATTGCTTATTCGACAACTACAAGCTCTCTGTGAACTTGTATTTTCTATATTTAATTTTTTTTTGTTATTTAAAAGAACATGTCAATGTGTCAAGCTGAATGTCGCAATAAAAAAAAAAAGTTAATTTCTCTTGAATATGAGACAAAACTTTTTAAAGGGGTCTCCTACCTTAGATACTCGAATTTTCCAAAAAATATCGAAGTTAAGTTTGTATCATAGGAAGATATAGCGAAGCTTCTTCTTTCAGAATATATATGACTTTTTGATAAATGATCAGATTTTCAAAGACTTATCACATGAAATTTTGAGTCTACTACCATATTTTCGTGGTTTTTTAAAGTTTTTCAGTTTTGGAAAAACTATGTTGCCACTTGCATTATCATTGAATAGAACATTTTTATATTAACCAGCATGTCAGATGGCGTTAGTTACTTTCATCTATTACGTACTCTAAAACGGTCCACTGGAATATATTAAAAAAAAAATACCATTGTAATATGATTTATTCTAGATTTGAATGAAAAAATCCATTTCTAAAACTTCTGTAGCATTTTTCTCAAAAACATGGTTTCTAGACAGAAAAATTGAAATAACTTCCACTCGGCTCGGTGTATCACCGATATTTGTTTTTTGTTTTAAGGGTCTTAATCAGAGCTAACTTTTCATCGGACAGATTTTTGATATTTTATTCCTGAACTGAAAGAACATGGGATTTACATTATCGATCGAGTCACCTTTTTTATGCTTGTTTTGAACACCATATTCATTAAAATGCTCATAAAAAATGAATGGAAGGAAGTTTTAAAATTCCGTCCGATGAAAAGTTGCGCACAAAGGCTAGCTTTAATTTGAAAACAGTCCAAGCTTTTTCAAATAAAATTATACCTTGTTTTCATGTTCAATTGTATCAATATTATTCTTTGATAAACATTGAATATTAACATTATCATTATTTTCTCTTATAAGTGTTACATATAAACATTGATTATTTTCATCATTATTTTCAATATGAATTGTAACAGATTCTGTTATTGGTATACATTGAATAATATCATTAATAACATTTTTTTGATTAATATAATCAATACCATATAATTGACATTTATGTGCTAATGGTAATTGTTTTAAAATTTCATCATCATTTGATAATATAAATAAATAATCATTTGTAATATTTTCTAAAATATAACCATAATCAATACATCTTATATTATATTTATTATCATTAATATCAAGAATTTGACCACGATAATATTTATTATCATTATTTAAAACAATACATAAATCATTTATTATCCATTGATCTTTTGTTTGTTTATTATATGTTTGTAAATATTCTTCAATTTCATATAGATGTAAATTATCATTAGGTAATATATGTATATAAAAAAAATTATTATCCACAGATGATATATTAGCTGAAAAAATTTTATTTTCTTCTAGATTTATTGAATTTATTTGTTCAATATTATTATTATTATTATCCAATTTAATATCAATAATAGAATTCTTTTTATCTATAATAGTATATTCAATAATATCATTTGTTTTACTGTCCATTAATGAATATAATGTATTATTCCATAATTCAATATCAACTTTATTTAATAAATATCCATGAGCTTGTGGTTCAATATCTTCTAATTCATTTGAATATGAATATAAACGATCAAATTGTACATTTTCATCTAAATTACCATAATCAAGAAAATAAACTGTATAAGAATTTGTTGATGATAAATATGATTCAATTCTAGCACGATAATAACTATCATCTTGACTAAATTGTGCTATAACATGATCACCGATTTCATATGATGAATTATGTTGATTATCTTGGATTATTTTAGTAATTAATTTATTTATTTGTTCAATTATTGGTTCAGATTCAGGTATTAATTGAATATATACATATGGTTTAGTTTGTTCTATATGTGTTAATAAACCTTGACGATATTCTGGTAAAGTTTCTAAAGAAAAAATTTTTTTGTTTTTATTTTATTTTTTTGAATTATTTATATTTCTTAAGTTAGAGATCAATGTTTTATCCATATTTATTCTTTCGGAAGACTGACAATCTATGTTTAGAAGTAGAGACATAGTACATATTACGTTGGGAAGGTTAACACAATCTTTGGAGTAGCACCATCCTTCTCACTGGATAGTTTTATTTCTTCGTATCTCATTATAGCAATCATCATTAATTAGACTAATTTAAGGTTTTCTTTGTGTAAAAATTGAAATTGAGTTTCCATGTAATTCAAATCGGTCAGAAACCGCCAATATGATATGCGCTTCTCTTCCAGAATATAGAAGATTTTTCGCAAAAACGGTCAGATTTTAATAGATTTAGATTGTACAATTATGTTTTCAAAGATATTATTGAAAGAATAGCTTTATATTAGCATGGAATAAAACATTTAAATCATTAAATGTCTATTAATAGTCAATATAAAAACTACATATTTGTGTTTTTTTCATAACATGAGATATATTATTCATGTATATGGTGAAGAAATTTAAAGGATTTAAACATTAAAAAAAACCATCTATGTCTAAATTGTTAAAATATTATTTTCAATCAGAAAAATTGAAACTTTTCCTTCAGGATTCAAGATTTTTGTTCTGAAACTGCCAGTGAGAATAAAATCAAGTTTTTTATATTTGATTCTTATTTTAATACAATATATACTGAAAGTCTGTTCGGATAAAAACTATACACAGATGTTGGCTTTTATTTAAAACCATTTCGAGCTTTGTATCTTTTTTCATGAAGAGCTCGGTCCTGTTTCTTTTCTTTGATAGACCGTACTTTAATAATTAAGTATTTGGTTGGCAAGTTAAGACGCAAGTAATGGAGAACATCAAGAATCACTGCTTGCTTATTAAATCTTAATCTAGAAATATGACTAATTGAAATAGATGGGAGTTTCCTCTTAACCCATGGTCCAAGGATGTAGTCAAGAATTTTCCAAAAGGGGTACACAACAATAGGAAAATAAATTTTAGTTTTGCGAAAGTGTTTACATACTTTCTGTCACTGATTCATTGTTCTCAGATTGTGTAACTGCTGAACTTTCATTTTGTGATAAAACATCATCATTAGTTTGTTTTTCATCAATTGATATTGGTTGTTCTTGTTCTTGTTCTTGTTCTTCAATTATCGTTGTTATTGTTGGTGGTGGTGATGGTGGTGATGGTGATGTTATTATATTCGGTTGATTATCAATTTCAATATTATTATCATTATTTTCAATTAAATTTAGATCACATCCAAATTTTTCATTAATACATTCATTATTAATATAAACAAGAACATTAAATAAAGAATTTTTTTCATTAATAATTGAAATTTCAGTATTTTCTGAATCAGAATTTTCTTGAACATATTTAAATGCATTATCAATTTCATTTAAATTTATACCATATAATTGACATCGTTTATTTTGATATGGATATGAACTTAATTGTTCACTACAACGTTTTAATGATGTTTTTGAACATAAATTTGTATTACCATAATCAACATAATAAACATTAATATTATCATCATCATCATCATTATTATTGGATTCATTTGATTGTATAATAGCACGATATGGTTGATTGTCAAACATAGCAATAATCATTGTATTTGGTAATAATTGTTTAACTTCATCAATTGTTAATGTTGGAGCATTTGGTTCTTCATTTTGAACAAGTTCACTGATTTTATCTGCTGTTTCTGTATCATCTTGAATAAAAAATTCATGTTTATCACATTCAAAATGAATAATAACATAATGAAAACGTTTTAATGATATTGTTTTAGGTTTCGATCTAAATACAAAAAAAAAATTGTTTTTTTTTTTATTAAAATAAATGAATTTTTTTGTTAGTTGTTTTTTTTTACTTAATTGCATTTGTTCGAAGTAAAATTTGAAGAAAATCATCGGACTCAAGAATAAATTTATTATCTGAAGTTTTTGTTTTTATTTTTCCATTAAATTCTTTACCAACACATTGATCTATTATATTGTTTATATTTACATTATCAAGAACTAAGAAAATAAATAATTGAAATATAATTTAAAAAAATTTTTTTTTCGTTTTAATCATTACTTTGAACATTTTCAAATTTACATTGATATGCATAAGGAGCTGCTAAACAATGTTTCTTTTCTAATTGTCGAATAGTATTTGAAGTAACTTCAGTTGTATCACCAAAATCAATAAAACGGACTTTTAATTTAGTTAAACCAGTTAAAAGAACAGTGGCTAAAAAAAAAAGAAACAAAAATGAAATATTAAGAGAAAGTCCATCGATTAAGCTGGTCGCTGCTAAAATTTTAATTTACTATTTTATTATCTCAAATGATAGACCATCATTTAAAACTTCTAAATCCAAAATATTAGCTCTTCCTGAGGCTAACATGAAAATTACCTAGTATTTTGGTCCTGGTCACACAGAATCTTGTTGTTCCAAAATAGTTTCTATATATTTTCTGAAAGCTCTTGAAAATCTGTATTGTTTAAGGTATTATTTCAGAAGACTAAAATGTTAGTCGTGAAAGTTAGTCGATGTTATAAATGTTGATGAATGATATCAAGCTCCGTCCATTTAGCATTGTATCCATATATTTTTAATGAAAAAAAAAAACTCACTTCTGCTTCTCCCGAATCATTTTTTTTCTCGAAACTTTGCCCGCAGATCCTTCAAGGTTGATTTTTCGTAGGACATAAATTTTCCTGAAATATATGTAATTCAACGTAATTTTTTGAACTGATTCTAAAACAACATCGAGGAAAATACAATTTTCCAAAAAAAAAACTAAATAGGTACTTTTGAAACTAAGAATTCAATGATTCTCAATGAGGCAAAACATTTGGTTCTATAGTTTCTCATCAAAAACTAGAGAGACTTACAAAGATGTCAATAAATACATACTATTAGTATATAACAGCAGAAGTCACACTTTTATTCAGATAAACATAAAATATGTAACATCATGATAATGAATAGAAACGACTATCGGCTGCAAACATATAAGGTATTAACTATTTTCGCTAATATTTCAGACTATCGAAGTAATATGTTAAACGATACAGAATTTCAAGGGCCTTTAGAAAATATATAAATTATTTTGAGATGAAAATAAAAGTACTAAATACTAAGATCACTCTAAAACAAAAATCGATTTTTTTTTCTTATCAAGGATCAAGTGTAATGACATTCGTATGTGTCGGCATTTTTTTTACAGGCACAGCAGGAAGAACTAATATTTTGGATTTCAAACGATGATCTATGATTTAAGATAACTAAAAATTTGAGTGGTGAATTTTTAAACGATTAAAAATTAATTTTTACCTCGATACCAACAATCATCTGAACTTTTGGCTAAACATGGTTGATTAATTTTCAATGAACTTATATTTGCTTCTGGTGCTTGTTGATATTCATTTTGTAAAATTTCACTTAATTTCGTTAATTCATTACCTTTAGATAATAATTGAATAAAAAAATCATTTGCTGTTTCAATATGACTAATAACAAATTTAAATATATTATCTTTTGGTATATCATTTTCAATAAAATGATCGCCAGCTTCAAAATTAATATTTGTTTGTCGGATGTTTGATGAATTATTGAATGTTTTCAATGAATTATTATAATCTGAACTTAATTGTAATCCAATATTATCACGATCACGAAAATTACTACGACCACCACGATTACTACTATCAAAGTTACCTTAAATAGAATAAAAAAAAACAACAAAAGCTATTAACATTGATCTTATGATTATGTCTATCACGATCGAATATTAGTACAATACGCTCTGAACATATTTTATCAATACTCGTGATAGTGATTTGATATTGTGTCTCATAAAAATAGCGATAAATTTTACCTCCACGTTGACCACCACGTTGACTTCCTCGTCGTCCGAAATCTCCATGATCTCTATTGTCGCCTTGATCACGACGATTTTGAAATCCACCACGAGTATTATTATTATTAAAGTTTTGTGATCGTTGCATATTATTTTCATTATAATCATTATTTTGATTTCGATTAAAATTATTTCGATCGTGAAAATTTCCACTACGACCTAAAAACAAAAAGCATTTATATTATTAAATAAAGCAAAAGAGAAAAGAAATGCTTACCACCTCCATCAGTGAAACCTCCACCACGTTCTTCAAAATATTAAATTGAAAATAAATGAAAATTGTTTTTTTTTTTTAATTACTTACTAGAAAATCCGCTTGAAAATTGTGTATTATGATCATTAGTATTGCCATCGTTATTTCGATTCATATGACGATCATTAAAACCACCACGAGCTTTTAAAATCAAATAAAAAACAAGAAATTATTTCAAAAAAGTTTTTATGGAAAATATTTTAATTGAGTTTCAGATCGAAATTTTAATTTTCCCAAAGTCTAGGATTCAGAAAATTGACATATTTTAAGAACTCGATAGCTTACAAGGAAACATATCTAATTGTCATACACTATTCGACTTCACACTAAGACTACATTGTAAGTTTCGGTAAAACTAAGAAAAGCTTAAAAGAACTCGCACCTATAAAGAGTTTCAAATTGAAGTTATGTCTATAGGTATGTTTGATAGTCCTGAAAGTTTCACCGGAAACGTACATGTCTTTCTAGAGATATTCAATTTCCAAGTAGACTCAATTACCGTGTCCTTCTATAGTAAACTGCTGTGTTTTTAAATATTGAATATCTCGAGAAAGACATGTTCGTTTTCATTAAAACGATCATAACGTTTCAACAATAGGTCATAGGTCTGAATTCTTTTAATTTCTTCTTAATATTCTTGTGGCTTACTCGTAACCCTAATGTAAAGTCGAACAACGTTAGACAATCGTCAAAATTCCATCTAAAATAAAACCTTGCTTTTGGAGATAAAGAAATTTTTCTTTTATGTTAGACATCTATTTTAATTAACTACCTCCTCGATCAGGAAAGCCAGTACCACGATTAAAACCACCTCGTCGAAAATTACTTTCATTTGAACTATCATCATTTTTTTGAAAATGATTTCCACTCATTTGTTTTTCATTACGATCATCATGAGAATATCCACTACCTAAAAAAAAAAAATTTTTTTTTGTTTTTCTATTGAATTTTAATAATTTATTTACTAAATGAACGTTTTTGTTCATATGATACTTGTTGATTATCATAATGCATTGATGATAAACGATTTTGATTATTATTTGTCATAGATATTTTATCATCATCAGTTTTTTGACTATTATTAAATTGAGATGAACTTGATTGTTGTCGTCCAAATGATTGTTGATTTGTAATATTAAAATTTGATTTATTAGTTTGTTCTTTATTCCAAATAGAATTCGATGTTGTTGAATCTACTGTTTGATTATTACGATTAGTTAAATTTGTAAAACGTGGTATTTGTTCATTTGTTGAAGGTATAACTGAAGCTGTTGAATTTCCTGTTCCAAATCGACCAGGTTGTGTACGTGATGGACCTGTTAAAATATTTGATGATGTTGATAAAATATCATTTGTTCTATGAGTCATAGATAAACGTCCACTTAAATCTTGATTAATTGTAGATGGATGTTTATTTGAATTACTAAATACTTGTGATCTAAAATAAAAATTTTAATATGAAAATATTTTTATAATAGAATATGAATCTTTTTTTTACTCAATATAAGTATGATGTGATTGATTAAAACTAGGTCGATTATTTGAAATTGATGTTGGACTCTAATAAATTAGATTTTAAATATAATGAATCATGCCAAACAAAAAACAAAATTTCACTTACTAATAAATTTTTCTCATTAGAAAAAAGTATTTTATTAACAGAATGATTATCAGCTAAAATAATTTCAACAGGATAAAATCCATTAATTGTCATTGGATTTATTTGAGTAATGTGAACACGTTGATTAAGTATTAATTTTTTCAAAGTAGGAGTTAAATTAGCTGAATTTTGCTTAAAATAAAAAAAAAATAAATTTGAATTTGAGAATAAATAAATTAAATGAAGAATGAGGATAGTGTTTTTTTTGTTTTTGTTTTGATTTTCTACTTACTAATTCATCATAACCACGTAAACGAAATGGTTGAGCAAATATTGGTATTGAAGAAATATTTTTCTCAATTTGTAATAATTCTGATATATCAACAATAACTTCATCACCACGATCAATTAATTTAACTGATGCTCGTGTATCATTTTCACGACGTCTTATTAGACAACAAAAAAATATAAAAGAAATTATTCAATATTTTCTTTTATATTTACTTTATTAAAACACGATGATATTTATCACCTTGTTGTACAACACATGGTGTACCTTCTACAAGAACATTTACACTTAATAATTGATCATTAATAGAATTATTATTATAAAACTCTTCGAGATATTTAAATAGACTTTCTAATTCACGTTCACGTGATTGAGAAACACCATAAAATTCACCAGCACTATGAACTTGTGTTATTGTATAAAGTCCATCTTCTAAAATAGATATAGGAATATAACAAGTAAAAATGAAATAAACAGTCTTACGAGGTGGTAGAGTGGATATAGTCGATGATGAACCGGTAATAGCTCTGAAGTAATATTAAAATAAAATTGATCTTTCATTTAATTAGAAAAATAAAGACGAAAACAATTCAATATGAAATTAAAGTGTATGTACATAATTGATATCAATAAATAAAATTTCTTATTCAAATGCAATTTCTCTGATTCTGATCGATCTCACAAGAAAAGTTCCGCCAACAGATTCAACACTATATGCATCATCTAGATTCTGTTGAATTATGAACATACTGAAAAGAAAATTTAGACCCTACGTTTATTATTGCGAAGATTATACTGACTAGAGTCCATCAGATCCTACTCGCACCCAATCGGATTCGAGTAGGGCTCGAGTCCAAAAATTTTGTACCAGACTGGCTCTAACAACGATAGATTCGAAGTTCTTATTTTAGAATAGGAGTAAATCAAAAGATTTGAAACTTAAGCTATTATCAAGAAGTCTGTTTGTGTATAAAGTTTTAAGTCGAAATTCAATTTGCCGGAGGGAATAATAGCATTGAATAAAAAAAATTATAAGTTTTCAGAATATTCATAGTTCATTAGGATCTGCATGATGGGCATAGTCTTGACTTAAAAGTGATTAATCAGTTGCAGAATGTCGCTTGTCAGTTCTACATGAGGAAAGATCACCCATGTTTCTATCAATTTGTTCATTTAGTTAATATTAATAATCAAAAGGTGTAGCATTATTGTATTTATCGACGATATAGAGTTCAATGAAATTATCTCTTAATACTATGATTTTCATGCTTTGTTGATGAGATTCATTTACTTTTATGATGTTTGAAAACAATCGATAACTATGATCAGTTTTTGTTTTCGCAAACATCATAAAGAGTTTTCGTATTTATTCAATTTATTTATACTATATTTCAACTTACAATGTATTAGGAGATTGTTGAACATTAGTATTTTGTAATCCAGTATGTGACATACGAGTTTGTGGTTGTTGAGTCATATTATTTGGATTATTATAAAGTTCATTTTGTTGTATAGATCTTTGTTGTTGTCTCAAAGGAGTCATTCCTGATGCAAGAAGTTGTGCACGTACAAATGATTGTGGTAATTGTTGACCTGAATTAAAGTTCGGACGCAAATTGCTATTCATTGTTGTACGAGAAACCAAATTTTTATCAAAAAGAAATGTACCGAGATCTCCTATTTCTAAAATGAAAAGAAGAAAATACATATTTTTTTTATCCATATATTTCTTTTTACAATCGAATTTTATTCTAATGTAACATACTCAAATAAAATATATAAAACATCAATGATAAAATAATATTTTTTCTATTCTTTTTTTCATTTAAATGAATAATTTAGCATAAAGAATCAATGAAAATAAAAGAGGGGAGAAGAAGGAGAAGAAGCAAACAAATTCACATATTGTCGAAGAAGTTTTACCCAGCACTGCAGACATACTTGGTTAAAATAAACTCAACCAATGCAAAATTTTCAAACTATACGATAGATACCGCTACTAACCGAAACAGATAAAATACTTATTTTATTTTGATGATGATAATCAATGTTTTTCAATTTTTAGTACTAACGAAAGATATTTTTCCTTTCTACAAGCTGTAGTTATTTCAATAATATTTGTAAATAATTCATACATGCAAACTTTTATATATTCTACATACTAAAATGAAAAATACTTTAATATTGTAGTTTTCTTAAAATAATTAGAAATATATTTATTTTATCTATTTGAACGTATTTTATTGTTTAAAAGATTATTTAATCATGAGAAAATTATTTTAATATAAGAAATTTAAAATTCATATTAACTAACTATATGAAATGCTAACATAATCTGTAGATTAAGCTCTCTCCTTCTTTAAAAATCGATCTTGCATGAAATTTTCAGAAGTTATTCAACAAACAAGATTTGGCAACTCGGATTTCTCTATGGGTTCTTATTCTATAGATTTAATTGTTTTTGCTTGAAAGAACATATGAGATTGTAGTACTCTTTATTTTTTAAATTCTTAAAGGATGACAAGTATAATATCTTGAAAAATGATCATCTATTTATAAAAGTACATTTTATATAATAGTAACAAAAAACTTAATGAAGGAAAAAAAGAAAAGAGCATTGAAACTTCACATGCTCTTTCAAACAGAAAAAGAAGCAATTGACTACAATCATGTTTCTTCAAGAATTCTAAAATGTGCAATCAAAAAAGTATAAATATAGAAAAAATATCGAGTTATCTTCTCATGTATTTATCTTAAGTTTGATTTATCTAATGAAAATTGATTTTGTTTTGAGCGAAGAAGAGGAACTTAAATAAAATATGAAAAATTAGAACATTTATGAAAGGGATCTCAATTGACTTTTACATATAAACAGAAATCGAAATTTCTTGATAAACATTTTTTTTCTAAAAAAACTTCATATATTCACATCAGAATGGTAACCAGTACAGATTACTGGTCGGTGTCTTATTTATTTTTTATATAACTTTGTTGGAAGTTAACTATGTTCAATATCACTATCCACAGATGGACTGATACACCAATTCGACAGTACAGTGTCAGCAGGGATTTCAGACCAACTGATTTGATCTACTTAGATTGATACCCATCATGAAAAATTTAGATCGATGTCATATTTTCTACATTAAATTCTATATTGATAAAATAAATAATAACTTACTCGGAATATCGATTTCAATATCATAAATAATTTGATCTTGTTTTATATGTACTTTACAGCTAACATTATTAACCATAAGTCTATTAAATTCATCATGTACTTGATCATTTGATTCCCATATTGATTGATCATTACCATTAATTGGATATACATTGTATAGACGACATGGTATAGCTAATGCTGATTTATGATGAAATTCTTCAGGTAATTGACGAATATTATTCATTGAAACATATTCTCTTTGACCAATATCAATAAAATAAACACAAATTTTTGTTAAATCAGAAGTAAAATCTTTCAAAAAAAAAACAAAAATTTTCAAAGCAAAAAAATTTTTTTTTCTTTTTATATCAAACCAAGTATAACAGCTCGATGCCATATAGCATGATTATCTTGTGCAGCAATTGGTTGATATTTAATTGGTGTTGTTATTGATTGATGTTTTTGCATAACTTTTTGTAAATCATTTTGAAACTAATCAAATAAAAGTTAATTTTTTCAAAAAACAACAGAAAAAAAAAAACTTTCATATTTACACTTATATAAGAACTTATATTTTCTCGAAGATAAACATAAAAAAGACTTGGACATATATAATAAAGCAAACGAATCTGATTTGATTGAATACAATCTAATTTTTCCAATGGAATATCTACCAAAAATAAAAAATAAATAAATTCTTTTGTTTTTTTTTTTAATTAACATACGTTTATATTGAAATTTATCAATCATAGGTAATATTAATCGTTGCATTTGATATTGTTCTATTTAATAGAAAAAAATTTGTTTTTTTTTTTTTTAATAAGAAAAATTTTGTTTTTTGTTTTCCTCTTCTTACGAAAATCTTTATTTAATGATGTTTTTGATGATTTTTCTGTTATTTCAACTTCTGATATATCTCTTATTTCATTATAATTAATAAATTTTGCATAAAGAAATGTTGTTGTTAAACGTGAACGAAATTCATCAATTACTTTTAATGACCAACCATCTAATGGTTTAATTAAATTAACTAATGAACAATGAAATGCTAAACGATGTAATTGAATAAAACGTTTCTAATAAAAAAACATTAAAAAAAAACACATAAATCTTAAGCTAGGAAGAAAAAAATTTTTTCTTTTTTACATGTAATGGTTGTAAAAATTGTATTGGTATGTATTGCACATCACCATAATCAATTTTAAATACAATTGCATGTCCATTTGAATCTATTTGACGTATTAAACCACGATACCAATCTTCACTTTCGGATGGACATGCACAATAATCACCTATATTAAGTGTTTCATTTATTCCTAAAGAGTTTTTTCTATTAAAAACCAAAAAAAAGAAAACAATTAATTAATTAATTAGAAATAAACCAAGATAACGAGTTTATTATACGTTAATGCTTCTGAATATTCATCATAAAGTTCTTGACCAAGTTTAAGAAGTGAATCCCGAACTAATTCTGAATGTAAATAAAAATCTATACAGAAAATCAAAAAAACAAAAAAAGAAAAAGATTTATTGAAATAGAAAGATGATTTATTTAAAAATAATAATACAAACCATTTAAATCATTAACATGAGCAATAAATACTCGTTCAGTTGAACCAACATGATGATTTAATGTAGGAATATCCATTTTATCCATTATATTCTAAAAGATATATTTAAATGAATAGTTGACTCATACACATTTAATTTTAAACAAGCAAATTTACCACATATGTTTTATATATCATAGAAAAGAAAAAGAAATCAATGGCTTAGAAGCGCCACAATCGAATTATTCATTATGATAGTCTTAATAAATACTAAAACTATTTGATAAAATTAAATATAAATTTTTCTATTAAAAAATTTTCTTTAGATATATAAATTCGATCGGAACAATATAGAAAGATTTTCAGTTAGGGATAGGCCGACCTTTCTGAGAAGAGAGAGGATAGGTGTACAAAAAATTTCTTGTTCCAGAGTGTATTTAAAATAACCATAGTTTTCATGAGTGTTATCACATAATGGAAACCAGAAAGAGAGATACACACTGAAATATAACGATGGAACAAATGAATAAATGGAAAGAGATGTATAAAGATGTTATGAGCTGATCGAGATTGTTTTTTTTTTCTGAAACAGAATTACTATCCATTACAAAATATAACGTGTTTCACTGTTTTTTTTTGAGTAACTTTTGATAAGAATATCATAGAAACTTACGGTTATCATCATTCAATGAAGAAGAACTAGACCACCGAAATTTGATTAGTCAGCAATCAACCAATTAGATGAATTCTTTGAGGAGATTTTTGAAAGTAATATTCGAAAGTTATTTCGCCTTCGATTTATACTTTGAATTGGATTAGTCGATAGAAAAAAAAATCGTCTCTTTCAATCTAGGCAAGATCGACATCTCTAGCTTGTTCTATTCGAGAGTTATAAAAGTTTTTCTGAAATTTCCGATTCCAGCAAAATGATCTATGAACATCTGGGAAAGTAGTTTAGCAGGAATAAATCATCGTGCTGAGTCGAATGTTAATAATTGGTTTTATGTTCGAACTAATCCGATATTGTTATCTTAATATTTCCGCAATGTCGAGTCCATTACACGGAAACTGATTGTGAAATTTCAGAAATATTGAGATAACAGAATCAGATCAATTCGAATTCGATTCAGCATAATGAATTACCCTGCCTAACTACTTTTCTACGTGATCACAGATCAATTGGATGAAAATGGAGGTCTCAGAAAGTCTTATCACTGTCGGACCGAACAAGCTAGGAATGTTGACCTTGCGTAGATCGAAAGAGAAGAACTTTTTCAAAAATCTTCTTCAACAACTCACCAACTTGGTCACTTGCAGAGGAATCAAATTTCGGTAGTCCTAGGTCTTCTCTTTTGAATGATGAAAACTACAGGTCTCTATGATGTTCGTATGAAAAGTTATTCAAAAACCAGTGAAACTAATTATATTTTGAAATGCATGGTAGTATTACTTTTTTATTATTATTTATGCTACAATCAAATTTCTACTCGGAGACAATTTATGAGATGAAACAAAAAATTCGATTTTACTTCTTACCTTTTTGAGGAAGAAAATTGTTTTCATATGAAATTTAAAAAAAAATGTTTCTTCGTACTTTTAACGGCAAAGACATTCATATTAGCAACCACTGGCGAAAGACGAAGTTATATGGAATTTCAGTGCTGATAGCATTAGCATTGATTTTTTTTTCGGAAAACAGTTTTGATACTCTATTTTAATAGTATTAAAGTACCTTCTATGGAAGAGATATTATACGCATGAATTATACCTCGACTTTTCTAAGAAGCTTTGAGCGCGTGTTTCGTCTTCACCATCACGTTACACCTTCTGAAAAAGGTGGAGATATAATTTTATACGTCAGAAAAAAGTTACTCCCATTACTTTTGTCTTTTTCTAATTAGTTAACGTTTTCTATTTTTTATCGGACTCTATTAGCAGTCAATACCATCATTTTCTATCAAAGTCATGCTTTTCAGAAAAAAACAATTATTCAAAATTTTCGCAGAATTATGTCATGTCACTGATATTATCTATTAAGGAGAAGATTTTTTCTAGACTGATTAAAATGCTGAACCTGTGTCTATTCTCTTCAAAAGAGAAATCGTCATCAAATATAACTTATAACATCTCTTAAGAACTTTTTGTCGTCGAAAGTGATCACGTTCATGACGATTATTCACAAGAAAAGCTCTTGAAATGTAAAGAAACAACATCACAACATGTTGTTAAAACTAAACACTAGGGGTTTTTAAAGTGAAGAATTCATTTACTTTCCTATCTTAGACAAAAGTTAGTAAACTCCTACGGCATATTTAGTTTTCGACATTTTAATTTGTTAAAATAAGAAAAATTTCTATTTATTCTGAGGTTTACTCCTAGACGGACCAGTCGTATTTTGAGCATTATCATTTAGTAGTACTCAAATGAAATTGCCTAATGAGAGAATCTCTTCAAATACCTCCTTCCAATTTCAATGACCTTTTGCCTATAGATACCACCTAATGTTCTAATAAAAATCCGAAAAGAATTTGTGTTTCTATTCAGATTCGATTAAAGTATCGAATTTTTAATATTTCTATTTTCAAATTTATGTCTCAAACTTCGTGCATATAGCGAACTCAACTAGATTAGCGTCCATAAAAATATTCACAAGTTTTGAACAAAGTCTCTTCGAGATATGAAACTTTCAACAAATGCCTGTTGTATACTCTATTCATAGAAAAGCATCTATACCTTAAAAATCTCATATTTCGAAGAGATTTTATTCAAAACTTGTGAAATTGTTTGCGGAAGCTGATCTAGCTGAGTTCTTTATATGCAAAAAATTTCAGATCAAAATTCGAAAAAAGCTGAATTTTTCGAAATCCTGTGGTCTTTAGAAACAAATCTCGATAGCTTTGCTAAAACTCAAATCCTTTAAAAATTTTTATTACAACACTATGTAGTATCTATAGGCAAAAAATCATTGAAATCGGAGAAGAGCATCTGAAGTGATTTCCTCGTAAGAAAAAAGACGTTATATTATCTTGAGATATTCTTATATATATGTATTATCTGAATTAAAAATTCAATATTATGTTAATGATCTTGATATCACTTATGAATGAGGAATTATCGGTCAATTATCGCAATAATATTTTCTCTTTGAAATATACAACAGTATTGTTTTCTAATCTGTACATGCGAATCGTGAATAAATAGTGTATCTTTTTTCTTTTTATATCGTCAAATAGAAATGAATGATTCAATCTATTGAAATCTCCAGTGTTATGCTTCATTCTAGATAAGAATCTGAAGTTCAATTTCACAAGTAAGCTATTGTAAAAAGTAATTGCACCGATATGAAATTCTATCAAAAAAAAAGAACATTTCATTAATAAAGAAATCTTAAATTAGTAATCAATAATTTAAATATTCTCTGAATCAATGGAAGTTTAAACATTGACTTACGATAACTAATAACAAAATAAAGTAAGGAGTGTACACTTCAGCACTGTGTAACTTAATAGAAAAATGATTGATTGTATGAAGTCCATAGTTGATATTATCTATTTAGGTTAAACGAAAATTAATGATGTCAACACTATAGTACCGTACAGAAAGCTCAAGAACAATTTCTTATTATATGTATTGATAACGCAAATAACACTCTATATTTCTTCAATATGACATCATCCTTCAGTTGATATGATAGTAGTAAAATCCTGTTGAAAACAATTCATTTTAGTTTTAAATGGTTAAGAAAAATTTTCGCTTCTATAGGGTAGCCGCATTATTACGACCGTATTTCACTGTATTGCAAATGATCATAAGCGGTGGGATACTCGATTTTCAGATCTTTATCAACTGTGTATAGCACGATAAAAATAAGATCATAATACTGCGCCTGCCAAACATCAATTTACAAACTATTTACCACTATAAAATTTATAAAGTGACCCGTTTTTTGGGCATCTCAACGACTGTAATCATCGTCTTGGGTTCTTATTTAATCAGAAATTTATTCATAAAGAGCACTGTTCTGTTTTTGACGACTAAGCTTCAACTGTCAGGAAAGCTGGAAGATGATCTAAATGATTTCGTAAAAACAAAACCGAAGACAAGACCGAAGATAAAGCACGATCTGATAGATTTGTAATTGAGATAACATTTTAAACTATTAAACAACTTGATTGCCTTATTAATGACGATCCGTCTATCTGTCTGTACGTGATATCGAATATGAAAAATAAGTTACGTGAATGAGAGATAGTCGTCTAAAGTTACTATTACTTATCGAATAAGACCTGAACATGACTAGTTATTTTTTTTCGATATCGAACGAGTAAGTCCATAGAGCTATCATTACTACAATATATTTTTACTTAATTCCTAACATTAGCAGGTTCAATATGAACTACAGTATATGATCTTCTTTTTCCTTCGTTCTTTCATCTAATCTGAAAAAAAGAATGAAAGTGTGTTTCTATCCGATGATGTCTTATTTTCGATTGAGATTGATTCAATAAATGACTTTTTATTAATATCTGTTTTATTGTCTTAATCAAGAAAGTAAAAACTCATCAAAAAAATTAGTAATAAAACAGCAAAATTATGTTGAAAAAAAAAAACTTCAATTGAAACATCTAACGAAGGAACTACTCGAACTGATACCCGTCGTTTCAATTCACAAGGAGATCTCGGTAAGACTAAAGAAAAATATTTCACCCACAAACAATTCGAATACCTTGAAAGTTTCAGCCGAAAAGAATATTCCTTTGTCGAAATATTGAATTTTCAAAAAATGGTCGTTTGCTACAAAAATTGAGTTGACCTAAAAATTTCATATCTCGATAAAGGAACATTCTTTTCGACTGAAATTTTCAGGACCTTCTCAGAGTCATCAGTCCTATCTATGGGTAAAGTTTCAGATCGAAATTCCGTTATTTGATTTTTCGGTAAATATCTAATGCTGAATCGAAAATTCATTAAAACGGTCATAACTCGGCTTCAGAGATCCATGGGCATGAATCACATTTAGAATTTTCTAGTCTTACCGAAGCCTTCTTCTGAAACAAAAGTTCTTTAGCAATCTGCAGATGACTACATTACGAGAAAAATGCTTTTCTAACGTATGAAATACTATAAACTATAGTTTCTTAATGTATCAATGACATTGATTAGACATATTGAATTAGATTAAAATAAAATCAGTCTATCCCTATTTACTTGGCTATTTGCGATATTCTCATTTCCAATTAACTACTAAGTTGTTGACCTAAACTATTTTTTATATTTCTTTCCTGAATAAATTTATTGATGTTCCTTATTATTGAAATGATTTTCTTATCTCTTTGCTCTACAACAAGAAACCAGAAATGCTTTACAAATGTCTATTGATGGCATATAACTATTCGAATCCTTGATGTGGAATACATTTCATGACAACTGGTTAGATATAAAACTGATAGTCAATGTCGTATATAAATCTAGACATCTAATTCTGTTTGTTTCAACTATAGAAAAATGTCTCAAATGATCAATTAATAGGGAAGGATAGTTCTAACACTACAATATTGGATAACGATTTATCTTTATTCTTGTCCTTTTCCGATTCATTCTTATGATTCTTCGCTATGGTAGCTATTTTATGCATATCTTTATATCTGATATGATCTCTAACCTTTGTCGTATGTATATATGATGCTGTTATGTCTTGTCGTTATCGTACGTTGATATTTCTACATTATTTTATTTATAAACAAAATATATAATGAATTAGTATATTCACCCTTATCATAAGCCTTTTTTTCTTTCTGTATTCTCATTTTTTTCTATTTTACATAAAGAAGCATAACATTATGAAAAATAATATTGAAAATTGGATTTGTTGATCATATTCTAAATCAACTATTATAGACAAAATCAAAAACAAACCAATCGAAATACTGTTTTATCATCATTCGTTTGTTTTGTTTTTATTTCCTGAATAAGAAAAGTCTTGTAAAAAAGAAAAAAAAAAAGGAACATCAAAGAACTACAGAGATTCGCGAAACTTGCGCAAATATGAGAATGGTATGGAACTTCAACGAGCAAGAATTAGAAAAAAAAGAGAAAAGAAAAAGAATATCGAGTGAAAAATGAAGAAAAGCACATACCAACGGAATTCTAAAATGAATAGGTAAAAAGTAGAACAAGCAAAGGAAAGTAATCACAAAAGAAAAAAGAAAACGAAGAAGAAACAAAAAGAAGTCACCGGGATGATAGGTTATTTGTAATAAAACTTAAAGCTTATTCGTAATGATGTTTTTACATCAAACCAAACATTGATAATTGATTTGCATACATCATCGGACGAACAGCTGGATGTGGTACAGCAGCATATGATGTAAATTTAGGTTTTAAATCATCACCAGTTATTGTAATATAAGCACCTTTATTTCCCATTGTATCACAATAGTTTGGTGCTGAAAATACGGTTATACATTTTCCTTAAATATGAATATAAACAATATATTTATATATTTAAATTATAGAATTTTATTTATTACCATTATGAGCTAATTCATAACCTTCTTGTTTAACTTCATGACTACGAACAACATATTCTAAATTATTTAATTTAAGAAAACGTTCAGTAATATCAGGTCCAAATTGAAGACCTAAAATAGAATATTTAAATTGACATTAAATATCAATAGAATAAAGAAAAAAAAGATTTTTCGATATTTACCAACACCACGTTTACTTTCCGATCGACCATTTTGTGGTTGTGGATCACTCCACAATATTTCTGACATTAATCCTTCTTCAGGTGGTTGTTTAACGCGATCAACAGCACGTATATCTTTTAATGTAACATCATCTTTACTAAATAATCCACCATGCATAACCTAAAACCCAAAATAAATCCATAATAAAAGAAAAAAAGAAAGTTATTAGCGCGGATTTCGACAGAGAGAGGCGATCGCCTCCTTTCCAGAAGATTTGTCAGAGTTTTTCCAAATGAGCTTTAAAGCACGTTTTATATTCATCGTCATCCCTGCCCTCCCATCGCAAAAAATTCTAGATCCGCAATCCCTGCGAGATTATTTTATAACAAGACATTATTGATATACGGTCTGTGATGGTCTTTGGAAGTTTAAATTTTGACTAATTTACTTCAATACTTCTCTTAGATAATATTTAAACAATAATTAAACTTACAAGAATTTTATTATTAATACAATGTGATAATGGTAAATAATTAAAAACTTCAGTAAATAATTGAAACATTTGTGCTGTATATTTTGCTTTAACTTCACCTTCAAATCCATACATTTGATTCATTGTTAATGATTCATGATTACCTAGAAAACAAAAAAAAAACGAATTTTTTTCGAAATTAAATCAAAATATGATTTAAATTAACCTCGAGCAAGAAAAAAATGATTAGGATAAAGTAATTTAAAGCCAAATAAAGTTAAAATACATTCAACACTAAATGAACCACGATCAACAAAATCACCATTAAATAACTAAAATAAATTTTTGTTTTGATGAAAATATATTTTATTCAATTCTTTTTTTTTTACATATGGATTTTCTTCGGATGGTGGTCCATTTAATTTAAATATATTTAATAAATCATAAAATTGTCCATGAACATCTCCACAAATAGTAAATTTATGTTTCTAAATCGAAATATGATCAAAAATATATTTCAATTTTTTTCAATTATATAATACTTACTGCTGGTACAGTAATATCAATTAATGTTGGTAATGATTTGAGCATTGTAAGAATTTGTAGAATTATCTAAAATAAGATTAAATTATTATTTCTTTTTAAAAAATTTAAATCTAGTTTTTTTTCTTTGTTATACTTGATAAGCATATCTTTTGTGAAGTTTTTTTTGGTTTTCAAAATATGGTAAAAGTGCAAACATAAATTCTTTAGTTACTCGACCATCTGGTTCTAAATGTATACCATCATATTCTTTTTCTATAGCTAAAATAAATTAATAAAATTTAAAAAAAACACATTATGAATTCAAAAAATAAAAAGAAAAATTTACTCATTGTATTAATTTCAATTTGATTTGCAACTGATTTTGATGATTCATCAACAGCAATGGCTTTTTCAAAACGAATACGTGTTACAATTTTTTTACATTCTTCATATTTCATTGTTGCATCTTTATCATTCGGACATGCTTTTGTGACCTGTAATTGGTTTTTTTTTTGAAATTCAAACATCAAATTATCTTGTTTTGTTTTTTTCTCTTTTAAATTTATAAATTAAACTTACATATTCATAATCGGATAAAGCTAATGTATATTTTCCTAAAGCCATATAAGCAGATGCTCGACGATAATATGCCTAAGCAAAAATTACAATGAAAAACTAATTATAAAATTTTGCTTAGAGAACGAAATATATGTAGGTTTGTTCAGGAAGACTTCTTCTATTCAACGGTGTATAGACAAAGTCATTCGTTGGCAACGTGACCTTGCAAAATTAAAATACATGTATCTCAAAATAATAAATTTTCCTAGAGCTAATTTTTATATGTTAAGTTATTTTAGATGTTCTGAAAAAATCAGCTCTAGAAATCTTTGTTCAGAAAAGTTATTAGTAAGAAAAAACAAGTGTTAGCGATGTGTCACAAAAATAAATTGACATTGTCTTTCACTTCATGTATTTTAGTTTTAAAAAAAAAAGAACTCCGAATTGAGGCAACATGTTTGACAACTAAATAGTACATTTTGTAGAACACTTCTGACGCTACTAGGTTTTTCAAAAAAAAAACAACAATTTACTTTTCGTTAGCGGCGTGATGGAGTATGAAAAAATGCTCTTATAACTGAATGTGAATCCTTTTTCAGAATCTTTAGATAATGGTAAAACAAAATTTTTTGCTTCGAGATTTGATAGGATTTCTAGAAAACCAATTTATAAAAGAAAGTATTTTGAAGTCCAATCTTACTGGAATTTTCACCATAGACCCACATTCTAGTTCAATGATTTGACAGAGGCAATATTTCAGCTCATGGTGGAATCATGATAGACTGAGTCCATTCTGGCTTCACCATTGTCCAACGATGTGTATACCGTTCGATAGCTCATACTGTCGACTCATAGTATCATGTTTAGCAATTTGAAATATATTTCAAATCCACAAAATTGTAGAGATTTCTTTACGATATATAGAGTTGTCCTGTGCGACTTTATTTATTAATATTTTACTGAGATATGATAATGTAAATTTGTACATGTGTTATATATAACTGCTATGTGTTAGAGCTTTTTTATTGTCATTTTTTGAAGAAATTTTTTGAAGAATTTAATGATATATTGATTCTAAATGATTTACAATTTAGTATAGGAGGATTTTCTTAAAAATATGAAATCTATAGTTTTTATCAATTTAATTTTCTCTCTTTTCAGCATGTAGCAGAATTCAATAATATATATCTATATATACACCATTGAATAGAACAAGTCTTTCTCTATAAATAATCTCGTTCTCTAATGAAAAAAGTTGACATGCAATTTTCTCATCAACTTCTATATACAATCATTAAAATGATTTACTTTGATATATTTTGGATCATATTCAAGTGCTTTTTTAGCATCAATTAATGCATAACCATACCATTCACGACGAAGATAAGAAAAACTACGATTTGAAAATAAAATCGCATCCGGATATATTTCAATTGCTTTTGTATATAAATCAGTTGCTTTTTCATAATCACCATCTAGATTTCAAAATGAAATAGTTTTCAACAAAAAAAAAAAAAAAACAAAGTTTTTTGTTTTGTTTTACTTTTAAATGCTTCATTTGCTTGAGCTTTTATAATATCAGCTGTATCTTTACCAATTGATATTTCATTTTTAGCTGCCTCTAAACTACTTGTTTCTAATTTTTGTGTTAAATCTGTTTCGACAGTTGATGTCATCTTAAAAATAAACAGAAAGCTTAAAATCAAATTTTTCTTTTTTTTTTTTTTATTTTATTATGAATATATATTTTTTTTTTCTACAAATCAATAATTATGATTTTTCTTTTATGGAAGAAGAAAAAGGAAACGATTAGCTTTAAGATTGATGATCATTTATGAACCACTAAAACAAAAAATCAAAATATAAATTTCGAAATATTAATTCAATCATTAACATACACAATAATATTATTGATCTAAAATATTCAAAAGATTAAATTGATTTAATAATAAACGATAAATACTTACAGGTATATGAATAAGTTTAACAAAAAAACCAATAAAACCCATAATAGCAAATCCTAAGTTTTTATTTTTAAATATAAAAAAGATTTTATTTATTATTAAGAATTTTATCTTACCAATAGCTGTTGCCATAGCAATCTTTTGATATTCTAAACAATTATGAACATAATACATTTAGATTTAATTTTAAACAAAAATATTTTTTAGAAAAATAAATATTTCATCCCTTTGAAAATTACGAACTTTTTAAATCAACAATTCGAAGGTTGTGTACTGTAAGAAGATTGATCATATTTGAGTGCAATGAATATTCTCCCTATTAAAGTAACTAATTGAAAATATGAGCTGTGCGTAAGGTGCATAAACTGAGAAATTAAAATTTCATGGTATTGACAGTCAATGTCATATATCTACATTTTAAAATTTCAGCAATATTGATTTTTCTTTCCATCATAGTTGAACAGAATTCGACGTGTTAAAACAATATCACACATATTCAAAAGTAATTATGCAACAGTGTTTAATTACCTGTATATTGGATTTTTCCGTAAAATTACTTTTTTTCCCCTATATAACTCTAGAAGCTTCATCCAACCATGACGAAAAAAAAAATCAATATTGCTGAAATTTTGAAGCATGATCACACGGTATAAACTATAAATACCTTGAAATTCGAATAGCATGGTTCATACATCCTACGGGGTAATTCATATTTTAAATTAGTTAATTTGACAATGAGAGAGAGTATTCATTGGATCCGAAAATGATTAATTTTCTTAAGTTACAATACATGATCTTCAAGTATTAGTTTTAAATATCACAGATTGACTTTAATCTTCTTTTTCTAGATACGTCTCCAGAAGTTGTTTGCAGTTATGCACATGATGTTATTGATCAAAGTTTAACTCGATTCTATTACAGAAATAAAATTTTCTAATGTAACTCCTCTGACAAGCTCATATATATGAAATAGTTCGAGCTACTGAGATTGCGACATAGACAATCATTCTTTTGATTTTGTTTCTAAGTAAATGAATTATGATTGATTAGTTTGTGTTATGTATTCAATAACTAGCTAATTACATTATAATATATATTCGGCTACTAAAATTTTAATAGGATAAGTTAATATATACAAAAATGTAAACCTAATACGAGTTCTATAGAAAACATTGATGAATACCTTTTCGATCGGGTTTAGTACATTTTTTAATTAAACGATATGAATCCTTAAAAAATTGTTTGCATGATTCAGTATATTGTTGTACTTGATCCATTTCTTTATTTCTTTTTTTTAAATAAAATCTAAAACAAAAAAAAAACAAAGTGCCAAAATCATTCATCATGAATTACTAATATAAAATGATGAAATAAAGCAATAAAATCATTTTTAACTGTATCCTCCTTTCTATTTAATTAAATAGTTTTGATAACTTTTCTTAACAATAAGCATCTATAACTATACTACATATTTATTTAATATAAGATCTTCAATATTCAAGATGTTTGCCTTTCTTCTTTCAATACATTTCAACAAGATGAAATAAATAATTTAATTCTAAATAATAAATAATTTCTCAACTTCCATAAACATGTGGAATAAGCATTTAAATAATGTTAAACAGTCATGCAATTATTTTGTGGTAAACGATAAAACAGATAATTTGTTGATGTAATTCACTGAATGACATAAAAGATGATAAATGTCATTTTAGAGATCGACGTTAGAAGAAGAAACCAAAAAAACTAATCATAAAATAAAAACTATATATATTCAAAATCGACATAACCATCACTTGTAACAGAATTCTTATTTTCTCGATTGAAAAATCATTTTTGTTGATTAAAATATTTTATTAAACATGCAAAGATATGTCTGTTTTTTTTTTTTATTAAGAAATAAATAATTAATTTCACTTTCTTTTTTTGCTTTTCTTTTATTAGAATTTACTTTAATAATTTCTTTCATTTACTGTTGTGATTATCTGTAATTTATTTTGTAGAAGACCTAAAAAAAAACAAAACAAAAATAAAGATAAAATATTGTTTTTTTTTGTTTTTCATTTTATACTTAATTATAAAATATATTTCTTTTTTGTCATTGATAACAAAAATTTAATTTTAATAGTTTCTTTTTTTTTTGAATTTAATAAAGTAAATATATTGTCCTAGAAAAGAACAAATTTTATTCTTCGATAAGAATAGGTAAAGAATAAAGTTTTGTTTATTGTCTGTTATTCCTACATAGGTATATCACTTTGCTATGTTTATGTAAAAATAAAAATAAAAGAGATAATAAAAAATGATTGCAACATTCCAACAAATAAGAAATAAATTTGATTATTAATTTCTTTCTTGTGTGTTATACAATAATTATAGAAAATTTGTCTGTAGACTAGCGACATCATTCAATAAATGGATTTTTATAGCATTAATATTCTTTCGTAAATGATTATCTATATAACAAGAGTTTAAAGATGTTTAACAAAAGCAATTTATTTAATTCTAATTGTGTAATAAAGGCTTTCAGAGCTGTTTATATTATATGATAATGTCGCAAATCTTTTCAGAAGAAAGTTCTTTGATTAATATCAATATATTTTTCATTCATTGATTTTTGCAAATATTCCTATCGATAAACAATGAAATTGAAAAGATACACAAGTTTTGAGTTTTTTTTGGTAAAAGCATGATATGGAGCGTGTAATGTAGTTGCGTAACCAGAAGATTGTGGATAGTAGGATAGTGTCCTACAATTTTGAAGGAAATCCATGCAATATAATGTCGATGATGTGATTGTTTTCTAGTGGTAGGAGGCGAAGACGACCAGTCTAACTCACTCTTGGTTACACTGCTACGTATACCTAAAAATGACACAGTGAATTCTCTGAGCAATCATCGAACTATATAAAATTCTGAAATTGTATAGGCAAGTAGACTAGTGCAAAATGATATGAAGCTCTACGGTTGATATCTTGAAGAATGCCGGAATCCTATATCATAATATTAGATCTAGCATATGATATTCTGTCATATCAGAGCTTTAGCAGTAGCCACAATTTCATTAAACAACAACAGTTCAAGAATTCTATGCTATTTTACGGAACTCTACTTCGTTTCATGAAGCTTTAAAAGAATTTGAATATAAGATTCCATAATATTCTTGTATACTTTCAGAACTAAAACTGCTTGTTTCTTCCTTCATATACATATATAATGATAGATCAGTGTGATAATAGGACCATAAACGAAACAAGAGATATTCTTATAGATAGGTTACTTAAATATAGAATATCATACAAGTTATAATCTGTATAATAGTTCAAAACGTATATATATATATATATGTGTGTCCGGCAATGGTGAGATTTAGACAAAAATTAAACGAAGCTTAGTTCAGCACATATCCACAAGATATTGTGTTAAAATCTGGATACCATCAACCATGAAATGACCCTGGGCAAGTCACTAACAATTATTCGTCTCGAATCATCAGTCCGATAGCATAGTGACCATATTGTGACATACATCTGCTCTTGTAGCTAGTGTATGATTAGTTAATGAGTATGAGGAGCAATATTGGATTATGGAATCTACCACTAGGCAGTATCTCATACCGCAAGGTAGCCGAAAGACAGAAGTATTCTTCTTTCCTAAACAGAATTTTAAAAAGATTTAAAAAACATGAGAATAAAGAACTGATATATGAAGTTATATTCAGCTTTAATTAAAGTCTAATTTAATCTAAGGAAGTGTAAAGTTCCCCAATGTTCTCAGTTGAAATTCAATTTGTCTTAGCAAGCTCCGACCAAACAAAAAAAAGAGAGAAAGAATCTTTAAGTTTATGTTTTTTGAGGAGTATTTTTTTTTTATTATTGTTAAATTGTGTTGAGTTATTTTCCAACCCCAAAAAAATGAAGGATACTTTAATTTATATGTATATTCTCCGTTGTCGAATAATAGTTGCCTTCTCTTAGAATTATATATTTCAAAAATATTACTTCACTTATTCATAAAGATACATTCGAAAATTATTTGTCGATATCGACGCAGGAGAAGTCATTGGTGTGCATATCAATAGCAATGAATATTTAGTCTAGTAAGAATAAAAAGTAGGTATGTGCTAAACGAAAATTATTTCATAGTTTTACACTTAATTAAAAACGAATTCTATCTGTAACATATATGTTTCTTGTTACTACTGAATTAATTATTATTATATAAAATGCATTGACCATGTCATAACAGAGATGATAAACTTCAATAAAATTTAATTATCTACTTTCACTTCGAAAGTTATTCGAAAAAGATGAATTATCTTATCAATATTTTTGATCTTCTCTTTAATTTGTCTTATGTAATAGCAAGAAAATAAGACAAATATTCTCTTTTTGATTGATCTTTCAACTTGACTTTTTTTTCATGAAAATTTCTTTCACTACTGAAATTCTTTCTTGATTAAAATAATTAAATAACATTTATTCAATGATCGTCTCCATTATATCATCGATTCATCTAACATGTGCGTGTATATAATATCTAAAGTCAACTTTTATATAACAATAGAGCATTGAGAATATCCGACACATATAAATATCTAACAAATTAAAAAAAAAAAATCAACGTTGACTTGACACAAACAAAAATCAGGCGTCATGATTTTGCGTTTGAATTATTACCTCATTGCATGTTTCAAATTTCGTTTACCTCAAATATATATATATATATATAGGTATGTACATATAATCAATGCGTATCGACTTTCCACAAAAAAATAAAACTGCAAGTTAAAATTATTGGTCAAAAAAAAAACGAAAACGAAATAATGAGACAGATTTCTTTTTTGTTTTTTGTTTCACACGATCTAACTAATCCTTCATACTCAATTGATTGGTAAATGACAGCAGATCGATGTAGAACAATAGACTAGCTAACAGACTATAATGTGTCTCTTATTACCACAATGAAAGCACGAATCAATCAAATAGAAACACGTTCGCCGCCGTCACTATCACGATTGTTTACTTCTAAATACACATATTCACTCACTAGTCGCCTGTCATTCGACTAATAGTTCATAGTGATTGTGCTCGTGGTGATGTTTGCTTACTGTTAATCGATACCCACCTTCTTCTTCTTCTAGTCTGTCTATAGAATGATGATCATTTAGATTTAAATATACATACGCGTATTCACAATGATGATGAATATGTTATCATTAAAATTTAAATCTATATCGTTTTATACATAGACACTCTTCAAATGTTTCGATATATATAAGATGATTTTCTTTGCTGATGATAACTTACCGCTCTTTACCTACTGCATATGTACTCACGCTCTTTTGAAAAGTATATCAAGAAGAGGGGGAGAGAGAGAGAGAGAGAGAGAAAGAAAAAGACTTATGAATTGCAACTCAATAGAGTATTTTTCAAACGTATGTGATATTTATATAGATTACAAACAAGCAAGGATGTGATGAAGAGAAAAAAAAGTGGAGATGCAAGGAAATTTTTTGAGAACTAAAAAGGTGTGGGACTACTGAACTTTCTCTTTCCATTTTACGATTTTGACAAAGTGAGAGGAGCTGCTCATATCCTAAAGGCATATCTCTGCAAGCAGGGAGTCATCCCCGATAGTAGCGGATCTAGAAAATTTTAGTGCATGAGAGTGATCATAGTCACAAAACGCGTTTTCATATCAAATTAGAGGTCACATCGGCTCATTTTCCACTTAGAAAAATTCAAAAAATAGCTAGGAAGAAAGAGACGATCGTCTTTAGTACCTCTTCTCTAAATTCACCGAGCTCTCCTTTCTCACCTAAGATATCCTTGATTATAAATATGTTACAAACTGATTAGACTTTTCTATGAACAACTCTTACTAAATCAAAAAAAAACAATAAAACGTTCTTTTCTTTTTTTCTTTCTCCTGAATATGTAATATATATATATATATATTAATAGATCAATTTACATATCTATTTATTCGTAATCTCAAAAAAGAAAAAAAAACTATAAAAAAATATTTATTTTTATTGCAATACAAAAAAAGATCTATCAAAAAAAAAAATTTCAATTATAAGAAAAAATTGACATATTCTCTCGAAATTTATTTTAATAATATATTCTATATAGATCCTCTTGTCATTTCGCACATACTTCTACTTCACTCATTCGTTCGTCCTTCCCTGTCATATATAAGAGATGATTATATCCAATCGGAATTTTTTTTTTCTTTCTCTCTCTCGCATTTCTATTCATTCAATCAAATTTAA